GATTCCTATGTAAAAATTTAATCAGCCACTGTGGCCCCACCCTATCCCCGGGGGTCATGATTTGAACAAACTTGAATTTACACTACCTGAGGAAGAAAGCACATGAGTTTCATCATTTCTGTCCCTATCATTGATTGATTGATTGATTGTATATTGTTTAACGTCCCTCTTGAGAATTTTTCACTCATATGGAGATGTCACCGTATGCTGTTGAAGGGCTTCAAATTTAGACCTATACTCGGCATCAGGACCATTGAGCAGTGAGGGTTCTTTATCGTGCCAGCGCCTACCGTGACACGGGACATATGTTTTTAAGGTCATATCCGAAAACCAGTGACTTTCACTTCTAGTGCCTAGCGCTTGGTGAAGGTAGAGTCACTACCTTTGTTTACGTCTTAGGTATGATGCAAAGCCGCGATCCCTTTCATTGATCTTGAGAAGAAGATTTTAAAAGATTTTTCCTAAATATTCCTAAGTAAAAGTTTGATCCGCCATTGTGGACCCACCCTAGCCCCAAATGTCATGATTTGAAAGCAAGGGACCCATGGGCCACATTGCTCACCTAGGTAACTTGGCTGATCTAGTTCTTTACCAGATTTCCCCATTTGCTATACCTATGGTGCCCCCATACCCCATCCCCTTTCATGATTTTAATACTTTAGAATCTATACTACCCCAGGATGCTTCCTCATATGTTTCAGCTTTCCTGGCCCAGTGGTTTTTTAGAAGAAGATTTTTTAACCCCTTCCACGGTTTCGCACATTTTAACTCATATTCCTTTTCCTATTTCTAACGCAAAATCACGCATATACCGTTTCCCCGCAATATCGCATTTTTTCGCACTTTAAAAAGTTGATTTAATCTTCAATATTGTCAAATTCCTTTTATTTTATACTTGTTTAAATCTCATAAAGTAAGAAATGTTATTTTTTTTATTAAAATATAACTTCATAATAATATTTAGGCTAAACCTTAGAGAAATTTTCACCACGCTATATTGTGCTCGCAGGTAAATGGTAACCTCATATTTCTATGACTTGAACATTATATGTATGTTGCATTACAATTTAGTAAGTTGTAAAGGGTTAAAAGATTTTTCCTTATAATATCAATGTTAAACTTGGATTCCCTATTTTGGCCCCGCAATACCCCAGGGGTAATATTTTTAACAATTTAATATTTGCACTACCCAAGGATACCTCCACATAAGTTTCAGTTTTCCTGGCCCAGTGGTTGTTGAGAAGAGGATTATAAAGAATTTGTTCTATATATTTCTATGTAAAACTTGGATTCTCTATCGTTGCCCCGCCCTACCCCTGGGGTCATCATTTTAACAATTTTATATCGACACTACCCAAGAAAGTTTCAGATTTCCTGGCCCAGTAGTTCCTGAGAAGAAGTTTTTTAATGAACTTATCCTATATTTGTCTTTTTTGGTTATCTTCCCTTGTAAGGAAACGTGGCCAACCCTTTTAACAATTTTAATTCCCCTTTACCCAAGAATGCTTTCTACTAAGTTTGGTTTCATAATCCTAGTGGTTCTTTAGAAGAAGTAAAAATCATGAAACGTTTACAGACAGACGGAAAAACGGACAGACAGAGAGACAGACAGACGGACGGACGAAGGACAAAATGTGATCAGAAAAAGCTCCCTTAAACCTTAGGCTAAGGTGAGCTAAAAATTTGAATGTACATTACCTGAGGATTATTCTACATCTGATTTATCTTTCTATCCTTATTTTTTTCCTATTTATTCCACTGTTCAAGATAGCCTAGTGGTAGAACGTACACTTTGTGATCGGGAGGCCCGGGTTCGATTCTCGTTCGCGGCGACTTGTCAAAACTAAAGTGTAAAAATGGGAAGCGACTGTTCCTTCGCCAAGTTTCATCTTTTCTGGCCCCGCAGGTATTGAGAAGAAGAATTTCAAAAGATGCCATTAATTTTTCACCAACTCATCATCATTTTTCCTTGGAAGAGAGCATGGTCCTTCATTTGAGCAACCATATGCATCAATCCCAATTACCCAAGGATACTCTGTGGCAAGTTTGGTTGAAACTGGTTTAGTGGTTCTTGAGAAGAAGATGAAAATGTGAAAAACTAACAACAGCGGCAATGTCGACAATGACGACTACAGACAACGGACAAAATTTGATCAGAAGAGCTCCCTTGAGCCTTTGGGTCAGGTGAGTAAAAAGTGTGCAATATGCTTATGCTTATGGCGGTTGAGATGAGAAAAACAACCCCAAAGACGTCATTTATAATACATGTTTATTATACCCCGGTTGAAAAGCTGGAGGGTGTAAAGAAAGCAGCATGTCCGTCCGTTCGTCTGTCTGTTACGTTTTTGGGTTGATCATACCTTTTTCTCAACTCCTCCCATACCTTTGAATAAAATTTAAGGACACTTTCATAGAATGTGTATTACATATTGCCATTGTGCACCTTGTATTTTACTTTTTGATCTGACTTGGTTTGGGGTTTCCCTTAACAACCATGGACACTCCCATTATTATACCCCCGCTTGAAAGGCGTGAGGGTATATAGTAGTCGGCATGTCCATCCGTCTAGCTGTACGTCTGACTGTACGTCTGTCTGTCTTTAGGGTATCCATCTCTTATCCGCAACCCCTCTTATACCACTGAATGAAATTTGATTAAACTTTTACAGAATCTTAATTCAATATATAATAACATTGTGACCTCCTATTTTGCTTTTGGATGGAACACATATTTCGGGTTTTACAGAGCGAAACATTGTCACTGCCATTTTTTCTATACTATTGAAGGGTACCCATCTCTAATCTGTAACCCCTCTTATACCACTGGACAAAATTTAATGAAATTGTACACCTCCTTTTTCACTTTTCGATCTGACACTTATTTCGGATCTGCAAAACCAAAACTTAATAATTATATGGGAATCAGGGGGTATCATTTAGAGAGCTCATTGCTTACAGTACCTCTAGTATTCATATGGGAGGCGAGGGAATCATTTAGTTAGCCCATTCTTCACCGTACCTCTAATTTTGTATATTAATATAATCTGAAGAAAATGCAAATATATGCTCACTTAATAATCGTATAACAAATGTGTCGCAGGTAAGACTGTAAAAACTATTGATATTCTATATCTTTAAATATTTGTTGATACAATAAGTTGAAGTGTTGCATTATCATACCCCCCGCATGAAAAGTGGGAGGGTATAAAGTAATCGGTATGTCCGTCAGAATGTACGTCTTTCGGTTACGCTTTGGGGTACCCATCTCTTATCCGCAGCTCCTCTTAAACCACTGAGTGAATTTAATGAAACTTTCACAGAATCTTTATTACATATTGTTGTTGTGTATTTCTTATTTTACTATTTGATCCGACAAACATATCGGGTTTCCCGGACACAGCAAAACATAGACATTATCATTATATAATAAAACATATAACATATGGGAGGCGGGGGTTATCATTTAGTGTGCACATTGCTCAGTACCTCTAATTTATATTGATATAGTTACCTGCTCATTCAAAAAGCCCTGTCTCTCATATGATATCGGCTTATTTGATGGTGCACTGTGTTTGGTGTGTTTAAATATTTGGTTCGAATGCATTTGGTATGAATTTTTCGATTAATTAAACTTTCTCATTTTGACACAGTTTCTTGCATGGCGCAGTGGTTAGATTTTCTGCTCTAGAGTCGCAAATGAGTAAATCCTTAGATTGATCCTTATTTCGCGGGTTCGAATCCCACTGTGGGACTTGGAAACCGGTTCTTCGCATGAGACCAAATAAACCGAGGATAAATCGAAGAAGGTGTTGGCATGAAAAAAGATCTCTGTCTACTCAATTGCCCTTAGTGCCGAGTATAGGTATAAATTTTCACCTCTCCACTGGCAAGAGGTGTCGTCTTAATTTAAGTGTTAAACCCTCAAGAGGGATGTTAAGCAATATACAGTCTATCATTTTGACACATAGTCTATTTGAATATAGGTATATACGGTTTGCAAGAAATACACTGTAATAAATACACTCTTCATATATTATATCCAATGTCAGATTACATTTTTTTTATAATTTAAGGGAGAGTTTAATCTGTTCTTCATCTAATTATTCTTAATCATAAAAAGCAAAACTTGTCAACAAAAAATTTCAATTGAATAGCTATTTCAATATACATGATATATGACTAATAATAACAAGAATGAAAAGAAAATTTATTATCATTGGATTACACATGTATCTCAATTCTCCTTTTTCAATTCTAGTTACATAAAGATTTATCAAACGAGCAAGAAAATATTTACACATGAGTCTGTGAGTTGCGTAACATTTATGCATTCAATCTAATAGTGTATAAAAAACTATCGTTACAAAATTATAAACGTATATCCAATGGTTTTTCTTAGCGCTTTCTACTTTATTATATTAGAACATAGTTTTGTTGAGGGTTAGATAACATTTCATTTTGGGATATTAAATAAGTATCGACAACTTGATCATAATATACTAGTTTTAGATTACATTTTTGTGAAACATATGTCGAAATCAGTTTGAAACCCTTACTGTGTTTTTCTTGTCTGTTGCATCATATTAGTATTATATTAAATTATGATGTTGTTAGAAAATGTAATTATTGATAGGATTCAAATCAAACTTAATTAATATTTAAATTTACATACTCATTTTAAAAAGATTCTAGTTTCATTGTAGTCAATTATATACTTTTAAGGTCAAATTGTCAAATTGATTTGATGTACCTCTGGGTTCGTGATGCACAGATAATTAAAGTTCACATGTAGACTTTAAACAATCTTAAATAGTCAGCTTTCTATATCGATGTCCGACTTTCCAGAGGTACAGCATTATTAAACAAGCATTTCTCATATTTATACTTCACATTTGTGAAAAAAAAACAGTTAATAGCGTTCGTTAGTATAAAAATACACGTAAGAAGTTTTCGACAAAAACAGAAGCTGAAATGCTTTCCGCCACTTAACAACAACTTTACCTAAAGGTAACCATTAAGAAACAACACCAGACTGAGCATCTGAAATAAAAATAGTCTCCATGGACTGAACGAATCTGAGGACGCCAGCAGTGGTTTCGGTGTGAGATGAATCCATGTTTTCCTATCATCATTTACTTGATAAACTTCTGTCGAATCATCGCCATCACTAAATGCATTGGTTGGTAATTCCATAAACGGAGGTTTGCGTATTGTTGGAAGCTCTCTGGAAGAAAAAGCACGCGCTCTGACACAATAATTGATTTCACAAGCCTCTCTCTCTACCGCAGCTAAATGCATACTATAGCCCGACGGACAACCACGTGGCCATAGGTACGAATCGCCTAATGTAAGATACGCATGTAAATCTTTTGTATCATTTAATGATGTATCTTCTACAATAGCATAAGGGTTCCCTGATTTGCAACTAAAAAATCCTGAAAATGGAACAGCATATTTAAATCCTAGTTCAAAGTCGTCACTTACACAAACATGCATATCAGTGCCAAATGTAAGGGGATAATAATAAAGTGGACAGCCATGGGTTTGAGTTAACGGATTTTCAATTGAGCTGGAAAATGTTCCCCCAAAAAGAAATCCATTATGATTTGCAGTCGCAGTATTTCCAAATGCAGCGCACCAATAGGCTTTTGAATAGGCAGTCCCGTGCACATAGTAATTTGAACAGCATGTTTTCAACCATAAAAATCCACAAGAACTGCATTTGGAGCGAAGCTCAGAAGAAGTTATCTGACTGTCCGATAAGAAAACAGATTTGTATCCTACTGGGCATGAAAAATCACCCGTCAACGGATTTTTCTGCATAAGACTAGTGCAAAGATTTTCATGCAACTGCCCGGATTGTGTACAGGTTTGAAAAACGCCTCCATATGAAAAATTACTTGCCTTATACGAGCAAGTTCCGTCATCAACATTAGCAATGTATGAAAAATTGGGCGAGTCAATGTCTGTGCATCCACGATATGTATTGAATTTATAGTATTCCTCCACTGCATCTTTTACATGCTCCACAACAGAATATAGGAGAAATGGAGGAAGATTGGGTAAGCTTTGGAGAGTTATGAGTTCATATATAGGAAACCCAACTCGATCCACGGCAACCAAGTTTGTCTTGATTTTGGATGCCCATTCACTTAAGGTAAAGCCATGTGGCTTGAATATTGGTCCTCCAAAAGTATTTATAACTGAATAAGTTCTATTGGCCTCATATTCCTTTACGAGTTCTGAAGAAGCAGTAGTTTTGTATTCACCTGATATTTTGAACTTCTCTAGAAAAGAGACACTTGCTGCAGCTATAATTTTGCTTTTATCTTTATCTAGAAGTTTCGTAAATGAGGTCTTCACATCATCAATCTGCATAACTATCGCTCCAGCATCTGTGCTGGATACGATATGGGTTCCATAGTCTCGGACTAATAATTGACTCTCGTAGGATGCAACTCTGGTCATATTTTTTTGGATATAGAAGGCAATATTCTTCAATCTTTGTTGGAATGCAGGATGTAGTTTTGCATCAGGTTGCAACTTGGCTGAATATCGCACATATTTTGCCTGAACACGTGTAGTTACCGATTTGTCTGTGATTTGGTTCCCTTTCACTTTTTCGAATTCAGAAGAAAATGATCCACTAATTTTAAATTTGTTGTGCTGTAATCCAGTTTCGATATTGATAGAAGATGCAGTAGTAGACGTAAAGTCTGACCAATGACGAAACATTTCTCCGAATAGTTCAATATGGCTAGTTTTAAGTGGTATTGAAAATACATTGTCCGGAATAATAAATTGTCCATCATCGGTCGTCTGACATTTGCTAAAGTTAAAGGATACCAGGACACTTCTATCTCTGTTTTCTAGATTGTCCCATCCGATACCTGGCAGAACTTCAAACCTTTCAACGCTATCGCCAAGAATTGCAATACACTGTTTTATGTCTCCTACAGGGTAAAGATTAAAGTTCGACAAATTAGTTGTGTTTGTAAAATTGCTCCTCAAAGCAATCAGAATCATGAAGCGTAGATGTCGAAACATGTTAAGCCTTAAAAATATGAACTTTTCATTTGATATAATATACTCTTTATATATGATTTGATATAATATACTCTTTATATATGTTACAAGATAAATGGAGACTTTCGTTGAAATCATTTTTCGAGGAAACATTGTGCAGTCAGGAAGATATTCGCTCAGGTATGAACAGAAGTTAAATAGTAAAAACGTAGACATAGCTATCAGGAAAAGATTTTAAGAATAGATAAAATTAATCATTTACTTCTTTTCTTGCATTTTACCGCTTCTGCGCCAAAAGCTCAAGTGCAGTTTTCTAATCAAATTTAGTTTGTACGTTGTCTGTCGTTGTAGTTGTTGTTGTTGTTTCTGTAGTACTTGTCGTCAATGTAAACTTTTCACATTTTACTATTCGTCTCAAGCGCCACGGCTACAATTTGTAACCAAACTTACCTAAAAATTCCCAAGGAAAGCAGAATTCAAATTTTGTCATATGAAGGGTCATGCCCTTCAAACGGATATGTTTGAGAAATAGTGAACGTATGGTGGCAACTTTTTAAAGTTTTCTATAAAACAACATATAGCAAATCAGTTCAACCTTACAGTAAATCTTCTTGACATAAAATAAAATAAAGTTTCTTCAAATGATCATCCCGGTGATAAAGTTGTGTTACTATGTGGGCTTTACATAAGAATAAATTAAAGAAAAAAATATCAAGAGCAACAATGCCATTATCAGTCATACAGTAAGGTGTATTCATATGGAAGCATCCTAAGGTAGTGAATATTAAAGTTTGTTTAAATAATAACCCCCAGTGAATTGCGGTGCTAAAATTTAGGATCAAAGGTTAACAAAGGTATATATAGAAATAAAATATGAAAATTCTTCGCAAGAACAGCAAACAGAATCAGAAAAATTTATATAGAGTCGGATTTTATAACTCAAACAAAGCCATGATCATGATTGATAGTGAAATTAATTTTTTAACATCTGAAAAGACAGAAAAAAATGTCAAGATTAGATACATTGCTGTAGAAGACACTGCAGACACAGCAGAAAGTGAAGATTTAGATTTGTTTAAATGTTGATTAATTCTACTTCGATGATATAAAATGCATGTGTACTTAAACACGTATTAATTTCTTGTTCTGCCCTTCTTTGGTTTTTAATTTGAATTTAAGAACGTCGTCAATACCAGGTTTAGCAGCTCAGATCTACAATATATGCATATTTTGAGGTTAATTGTCACTGTCGTTATATTCTGATTCGGATGTAGGTTTTTTCACTTCTCTAGAATTTCAGAGTCAGTTTATACTTCGGTCGGATGTGCATCACGATCTGAGTCGTTGAACTGAGGATTAGTCTGTCTCATGTAGGGGCCCATGTCTAAATCTTCCTCAAGCCGTCGAGACACTTTTTCAATTTCGACAGTACCTTGAGAATTGTCGTCAGATTCTGTTATTCTTTCATATTTATCTATCAACACACTATGTTTCAGAAAATTATGATAGTTTCGGGGGGGGGGGGGTACTGAATCCTAAGCAATGCTCATGTATCGAACAGCAAAGTCTAAAAATATATTGGGTGTTTCGGTTTGATCGATACACTTTATCAGGTGAGACAACTGTTGTTTTCTGTAATGCTTTTTGAAACTTTGTATAATTTCCTGAATTAATAGGCTGTAGGTGACTAGTAATTGTTGGGGAAAAATGAATTTTCACATTTGAAAGGCGTAGGATAATATGTCGGGGCGCATGGCACTTAATTAAGGATTTTGTCGTCTTATTCTACTGTTGAATTTTAGATGCCAAAAGAAAAAAAACTTATGTCATCTAAGCATTTTTATAATGATCATAACCTTATCATGGCATGACATAACACTTAAATCTACATTATATGAGGATGTTTCCATTTTAAGATGACTAACACACAAATTCCAAGAATAGTGGTTCTCTGCTTTCTGTGTCTTAGTGAATAGTTGCAATGATTTATGACAGATTGTGTCAAATATGAACTCGTTATCATATGTCAATAACATTACACTTCAATGCCAAGGTCAAAGAGTAAAGTCATGATATATTTAGAAAGTCTATTCACAGGTAATATAGATGTTCAGTCAATTGAATGCCTTATCTTTTCTCTTTCAAAATGATCAATTAAAAATAATATCATTTTCTTTTGGAAAGAAAGATAAACTTCAAGGTCATGGTTAAAAAGTCACTATATATTGACAAACTTTTTGTTGGTAATGTACATGTGAAATTTTAAAGCCCTATCTCTTATTATTCAAACGTTATGACCTTGGTTAAATTTATTGTGACAAACACACTCAATAAGATGCACAGGCTGACAGACAATAACGATAGTAATAAAGACATTTTAGATGTTTACATATTAGTCTAAAAAAAACCTCTTGATAAAAGGAATTGCATTTTTGAATACAGTGAGAAGAATTCGCGATACTTAAAATATATTTTGACATTTTTGAAGGGATAAATACTGCAAATAGGATAGATAAAGAAATAGATATTTATTTTGTGTCGTATGATAATTTTAAAATTTGCAAAAAAAACAAACAAGTTCATAAATTTGTAAAGTATAAAACTCAAATATATACAAAGAGTATTAAACAAAAATATCACATCAAAATCTCAAGAAAAATGAAAGAAATTACTACAAATTGAAATTATATTGAAAAGAATTTGTGGCTCAATTCATGAATTTAATTTAAAACAAAAGATCAATGGCTTTCAATGATAATGTTTACATAACAGTTTATACACTGAGGAAATATTAAGCTTAATGCCTTGCGTATATCAAATGGAACATGATTTTTCAGTAAATCAAATACCGAGAGTCAGAAACATTTATTTCATGAATGTAACCATGTCAAACAACTTTAAGAAGTCGTACAAAATATTATGTTTAAGGTATCCGATCCATAAGAGCCTCAGATTCAATGGATTTGACTGCATTAAGATATTTATTGGCTGAATACACAGTTAATGTATACATAATTTTCATGTTTTAGTATCAATATGTAAGAGCAGAATGTGTCCTAATTTTTCAGCTTGACCCGTCCTTGAGGAGTTATCCCTTTTGCTTTAAATCATGAAATTGATTAAGAATCTGGTGAAATTTATTCTTATAATGTTTATTTATTCTTAATAATAATATACTCCGTTTCACCATAGCATTTCTTGATATCCATAGAATTTAAGTTTTTATTTTTTTAAATTTGCTTGTTCCCATAGACCCAGATGCATTCTTCATTAATTAATAACTGCTCAGGTAATTATATTTTGAAAATTTCTCCTGGTAAATAATTTTCCATTCTTAATTGCTCTTAACTATTTTCATAATATTTAATACAGAATGGATATTTAGAGTGAAAAAAAAAATCCTTATATGGGTCGGATACCTTAGCGGTATCGATGCTGTTCTCAACCATATTCTTCTCAACAGCCTTTTTGGTCATTTCAGAATGGGGGAGCTGGTTCAAAAGTCATTGCATTACCCTGGTCATGCCATTCAGGCCGGGGATGTAATTTATCACAAACAGACAAATAAAGTCTTCATTGTCCTTAAACACTCCAAAACTGACCAAGAGGAGAGGGGGCAACAATTTCACTAACAGCCACTTTACAGGCAATATATATGCCTAGTGCGCCCAGTTTTATCATTTATGCAACTAAGACCTAGCATCCCTTCAGCATTTTATTTGTTTTTGCCACATCTCAGGTAGTCCAGTGACAAGGTATCAGGTGTCAGCTGTTTTCAATATGGCCTTACACAAATTGGGGTTAAGCAAGCAAACTTATAAAACTCACTCCTTCCGCATAGGCGCAGCCTCAACTGCTTGGGTCAATGGGGCCAGTGAAAAAGACATTGCTAGTAAGGGCAGATGGAAATCTCAGTGTCTGTACAAGTACATAAGGAAGTAATATGTTCATAACTCGCTAATTTTTTTGTTGTCAAATCTTTGTAGGTGTAAAGAGAATCTGGATCATTGGATCCTCCATTATTGTTAAACATGCATTTTATTATGCCAGAAAATCAGTATTTGGCACCAACTTAGAATTAGACCGGCACAATGCTACCATATTCTGGCAAGGCAAAGGGGGTATGAAGGTGGAGGACATTTTACCCAAAATTAGAACTTTACTCAAGGTAGAAAATGTTCCTCACATGTTAGTTATTCATTGCGGGGGAAATAACATTCGATGGTATAATGGGGGTAAATCAGCAGATCTACGTTTCTGATAAAAAGAAATATTTAAAAAAAATAGAAAATTGCTACCATTTACTTTACTTATATTGTCACAAATACTGCCACGTCTTCATTGGAGAGGGGTATCAACCAGTCTGCTATGGAAAGAATAAGAGTCAGAGTAAATAGCCATGTGGCTACTCACTTGTTAAGGTCCGGGGTGAAGTACATCAAGTACTTAGAGTTACATATGATCAACACAGGCATGTTTTCTAAAGATAAGGTTCACCTTTCTGATATGGGTAATAACTTGCTTTGCAAGTGTTTTTGATTAATAACTCAGTTCACGTGTCCCCAAGAGGTGGGGAAATTGGGCCATGGCTGCGCCATGACTAAGATTTTAGTCATTGTAACTATTTTATTTACTGTCAATAGACTATTGAGGGTTTATTTATTTGTACTGTCATGCACCAAGTCAATTTTTGCTCTTGCTCATAGACTGTTGAGAGTTTATGTATTTGTATTGACATAGTTTCTTATTTTCTGGTCATTTTATTTTACTAAATATTGATCATTGCCATAAATTACAATATTTGAGGACATAAACATGACTAAAGCAATTATCAATCTTAAAAATTTCACACACACCCCCTTTCCCCCCCTACCGTCTGACCCTACTAGTGGCGCAGCCAATGCTCAAAGCATAGGCTCGTGGCGGATATTTAGCTCACCAGTAGTGCCTAACCTTGATTCTTCTTAATATATGACTTGGTGCACAATTGATTGAATTTTGCAATTATTGTCCAAGCAGAA